TACATGTAGATGTACCTTGAATTGAATGAGTGCATAATCTCCAATCAAATATTCCTCAATACCACAGACCTACAATGTATAATGAAAATAATAATAATAATTATCCTTAACAATCATAAATACTGACAATAATAATAATAATGATAATAATAGGTGCAGTATATGATTGTATATGCATTAGAAAAAATTAGACAAATTGAGAAGCCTCTCTTTTTCAATTTTGGCAAAACTTGGCCCGAGACCATGTACATGTACGTGTCTACAGGAGCCTTTACCCATTTTTGAAGCAAACTTTAAAATTTGTAAATAAATCAAATTGTGATTGGAATAAACTCAAGGACATGTACATGTACATGTATCATTAAAAAATTATAAAAAGGAGAATTCTGTCTTAGAAATTATCGTAAAAATACCCTGTACAAAAGCACAACCATATTTCTGAGCAACTTACATGTACATGTACAGGAGCATTTTTATTTGTTGTGCATGTACATGTACATTTACTTATTACTACATGCATGGTCTATAAATAAAAAAGCAACCCACTGACAAAATACCATTAATGAGGTACACACTAGTAACACTACAGTATATGTACATGTACAGACTACAGTTAATGAATAAATAAGCAAATTAAGCACATGAGTAATATACCAAAATCCTGTGGAGTACCCATACATGCACAATGTACATTATGTACATGTACATGTAAATAAAAACACAATCCCTTACCATCTCCATTTTTGAAGATAACTCTGATGTCACCAGGGGAAGCAGAGGTGTCTGGATTCTCATAGACCATGAGTAGTGGCCTCATCTTGGAGTCATAGAAACGACACTCACGATCTCTAAAATGAGAATATTCAATAAAGAATCAATACATGTGTATACGAGTGACCATACAATAACTCAATTAGCAGAGTCACAACAATAGCCTTAGGGTACCCAAATAGAGTAATTTGATATACTTGCATTATGAAGTGGTTGCCATGTACAAAATATTTACCATTATAGATAAAAATAACATAATATTTAATTACATCATCATTCTAATGAATGAATGTTCAGAATCTGTACATGTACATGAACACATACATGTACACGTACATGTAGATGAATGCATGTCAATGTATGTATGAAAATTACTTTTAGAGTCATAACTCATTCAAAGGCATGTACCCGGTAATTAAAATGTACATGTACATGTAATAATTACAGGAATATAAAGCTAGGTTTACATGTACATTTGACGAAATGATCAAAAGTGAGTGGGTGATTTGACCTTTTGATGCAAATCGCTTTGAATTCGGCAAAAATGGTCAAATTTCAATTTTTTGCTCATTTGTGCTGAGTTTCGTGTGGAGTGTAAATTAACCTATAGCTTTATGTAAGCATGTACATGTACATTGTACATGTATGTATACAATCCATAGTCTATGAAGCTGCTGTGTAGTTTGCCTAGCAAACTTAAGGCTAGTTTACGATATGACGTTAGGCCAACGACAGTCAATTTTCAATCAAAAGTGTGGCCGATTTGACCTTTTGACGTATGCTTCATGCTAGAATAGAACCAGATTCTATTCCTGCATCTATGTAACGTTAGGACTTGCATAATATTCTAAACCAGCCTTTAATGGTAAACCTAATGTGAAGCTATAATGTACATGTACATGTTACTATAACAACACATGACTGCTTGATGCGATTAGTCTGATTAAATGTTTTTAATTATTAAAAACCACTTCCACTTGGAATTACTAATCTAATTAACAATACATGCACATGTACAGTACATGTTATCATTAAATACAAATCCAATCAGCACTTGTATTAAACTGAGAATGAACGCCAGCAAATGTGTGCTTACAAGTATAATTGAATTTCAAAAAAATATCATATACATACATGTACAATGTACATGTATATCCAACAGTAATATTACATGTATTATATCATTTACATGTAAATTTCTAATGATGTTACACACTTATACTGTATTGCACTGATCTACATGTACATGTATGGTATGGTTCTAGGTACGTGCATGTACATGTACAGTACAATGTATACGTACTACTACATGTACATGCTTCTTCTTGGTAAATGTAATTTTTACTTCTCACAATTACATGTAATATACATAGTTAATACAATATTAAAGTGCATACAACATTATGTGTAAACATACGGTATATGTACATGTATATGTACATGTACATGCATATGTATGTACTTTAATCCTCCTAAGGTGAGTTTAGGATCCAGTGTTGATACACAGTTATTGAGAACTTGTTTGTAGCTTTGTTGTGCCAACACTTGCTGCATTGTATCCCTAGCCTTTTCCTTCTTATCCTAAAAGATAATAAACATTATCACCACAAAGTACCACAGAACTTATTATTCTTAATATTGTTATAGGATATAATATTATTTTAATGTTTATCATTATTTTGGTTCTTGTTTCCTTATTTCCTCCTTA